TTGGCAGTGATAGGTTAACGGTTGGACTCGATGATCTTAAGGGTCTTTTCCACCTTAATGATTCCATGATTCTATAAGTATCTTCCCTCAACTTGCCTACGTGGGGCTCACACTCAGAATTTTAAACCCTTTCCTCTACCACAATTTGAGTGTTGAGGTCAGGACACCTCTACCAGTAGAACAGTCCCTCCGCACTAGGCTGCAAACTGCGGTGCCATTTCCAGATGGAAAATAGAAAAATGACCAAGAGGTGCATCTTACTTTAACCGCTTCTAGGACTGGTTCATAGAGATCTGGAAATCCTGAGAAGCGGAAGAACATGCAGTGGATGAGCTCGGCCAGCTGCTCCAGGGTGCTGGTGGCAGAGTTGGAGTCCTCCTTCTTCAGAGAGGCCACCAGCCTGGGGATGTGAGGGAGCAGCTGGAAAAGGAACATTCACTACATCAAAAATGGCTCCAAATTACTTGCAGAGCTTTAACACACATGCAGAGGAATGAAATTCACCCCCAGGCAGAAAGGACAGTCAACAGGATTTGACTTCAGTCCCATTCTGGACTTCATCCTTCACCCGATGAACTCAACAGCAACTCTTCTGTTGACTTTAGTAATGCAAATGCTATAGACCTTAGAGGGTTTCATGTTGCCTGACACCTGCAGGTCTGTGCTGCTGCTTTGCCGTGCTGTGATTACCATTCTTTGTGCAGATCAATGTCTACTAAATCACACACCCACGATGGAAAGGAGCATTTTATGCCGACTGCCAAGTGCAGGGATTCAAACCTACAAGACAGATGAATTAGCCTACAAGAAGTGTTGTCTGGTGTGCTATATTTTATTTTATACTATATAAACTGAACTGGAATTGGTATGGTCGGATGGGTGGTGACAGGCACATAAACAGCACATTTGTTATTTTGCTTTCAGCTAGAAAATTTAAAATGAACAAGCAGACACAAATGCAAATGATACATTGCTCACGGGCACCCTCTGCTGACCCCGCAGCTGCACAGAGAATTAATAACCTATTCCCAATCCTGCAGATGTCTACAGTGACCCTGGGCACTTGCGCAACCTTTTTCATATTTATATTTTATGTGATTTTTACTCCAGAACAATCCTGGAGTAAAGTCTCAGGATCCCCAGGCTGGCCATTTCCCAGCCCTCCCTTCATCTTCCTCTCTTCTTTCTCTGTGTCTCTTTCTTTCTCCTCAAAATGTTGGTGATTTTAACTATTTCCTTTCCACCAGAAAAGTTTTGTTGGGGAAGCAAATGAATCCCAGCACCATTTTATAAATCAATATTTTGCCAAGCTGTGATGGGAACAATTCTCAAAACCCTTCCAAAGAGCCAGGGAAAACACAAAAAGATAAGAAGCAAGACCGGTTTGTGCCCTGTTTTTTAAAAATAGGGGAGGAAATTTGTGCTCGCTGGGCTGCAGATGGAAACTTAAAGCCAAGAGCAACTGACAGCTTTTGGAGTGTTTCAAATTCTGGACGCCCAACTGAAGACAATCCGTTGGAACAACCCTATTTTTAGAAACCGAAGAGTTTCTCAAGAAATTCAGGCTCATTTAAAGCGTCTCCAGCTGAGGAATGAAAAAACATCAGTTGAAAATGTTGGCTAGCTTTACTTTTTTCCAGCCTTATCTGTTTATTCTGTGAACTTTAGGTGAAAAGCAAAATGTAAGGGCTTTAATGAAAAAAGTACAAAGTCAAACATTAATAGGAGTAATTTTCCATTACTTCTTTTATCAGTTCAATCATTGCAAGCATGCTTTTGCCTTCAACTCTGTTTTTTAATTACAGCATTCCAGTGGCAACACCGACAAGAAGCAGAGCCATGCCTTAGTGTCAACAGCAAAATAAAATATAAAATATCACTGTGGAAACGAAAAGAGGAGATTCAGATACTGCTAAAAGTGTTTTTCACCTTTAACAGTGGAGAATTCATGAAGCAGAAGTGTTCTGATTCAGTCTTCAAGTCTTATGGAGCTGATGCTGTGCAATGATTGGAAAGATGCCCCATCACTTTAAGAAATGGTAATGGGTGCCACATATTGGTGACAATTTGAAATCATGCGTGGGATGGAGCCCACTGAGTCCAAGGACAGTCAGGCACCTGCTTAGGAAACAGCAAGGGCTGTTTAAGAATATATTACCTGACCTCCACTGCCTGAGCCCTCCGAGACGCTCTCAATGCAAAGGCTTCACCTAACACATCCCAAAGCCAGAGAAGCAACATCTACAACACCTCAGCTGAAAGGGTGGGAATGAATATGGGGCCGTATCTTCTAAACCTGACCCTGAAACTTCATCCTAAGCCAGCCTGGGTCGGCATAGCCCTTCTCACCTTCCTGCCCCAGGCCAGCCCTCCACCTCCTCCCCTCTTCTTCTCCAGGCAAATGCAATAGTGCAGGTTTGTGGTTGACCCAGACCCAGACTGACCATCATGATTTTCTGCTAGGTTAGGTTTCACCTGGGCTCCTTTTACAACACAGTTCAGCACACGGCCATACAAACGGCTCAGCAAAAGGGAGAGTGGCTGGGAGAAGCAAGCAGTCTAAGAGCAAGAGCAGGGAAGAGGAGAACCTCCTCTTCCACCTGCAGGGCTGGCAAACACCAGGTTAAAACAACTGCAAGAGCAATACAGCCACTGCGGATGAGACCCTCAGTATGGCTTGACAGGCCATCCAGTATATTTGCATTAACTGCATCCTTGGCTGGTGGGCTTTGAAGTTGAGAGAGGACCATGAGGACGCACTTGCCCATAGAGACCACTCCTCCAGGTGGTAGAGCACCGCAGAAAAAAAGCCAAGCATGCACACATTGCACACACTGCACACACTTCAAATCTGGAAGGGCCAAGCCCCAACCAGCTTCATACTGATTTATCCGCAGAGATGAGCTATCCAGCTGTTAAGCCTCAAGAGAAATGGGAGAAACCATCACAGCAGAAAGCAAACCCTCGCTTCTCCTCTGCACCTCGCTCTCTGCCACAGAGTGGTTGCTCTGTCTGTGGCAACCAACTCCTTTAAGGCTCAGGACTTGCCTCCGCATCTCAGCACCAGCTCCACGGTGCCCAAAAACCTGTTCGGGCTGCAGGAGAGGGTGACCAGCTGCCAGGACAGGCTGCAAGTGGATGGACAGGGTTGGGTTTACATCACTTGGTGAAATCAAGCAGATGAGGGAAATCTTCCCCAATATCTCAGCACCTTAGGCTCCCTCCCACCCCTGTTGCCCCATGGCATGGTTACAGTCAGGATGATGCCCTCATCTGAGTGCCAGACGCAGCCTTACCAAGTGAAATGCCTCGTGGGAGTGCTGGAAGCTCAGCAGCATGTACTGCAGGACAGACAAAGCCCCCTCTCTCACGATGGGGTACAGCAATTTGGAGAAGACCTGGTGGGGGAGAAAAAAAGCAAATGAGAAGGCAGGATGGCACCGCAACACGCATGAGAAGGGGCCAGCAGGAAAGAGAGTCACTGGGCATCTACCACAGCTGCTGGTCTGTCCCTACTCCACGCTGGATGTCAAAGCAAGCAGCCTACAGCCAGTCCTCCAGAGTCATCTCCTGTCCAGAGCATGGCCAGGGCATCCTAAAAATAGCGTGTGGGTTATCCTCACTCTGCCAGGCCTGTGTAATGCCTGGCACAGCGAGGCGCAGAGCTCAGTAACACCGCTGCATCTCCATGCCTCCTGATGGATGAGGCCGTGCAAGCACAGAGCAATTTTCTAAAACGCGCCTCTTCTGTTTTATTGTGATATTTGGAACTTTATCACCAACCTTTCAGGCAGACAGATAGAAAGCAAAGGCCTTTGTCAAAGGCTAAGTAATGATATTTATCCTACTTTACAGAAAATGGTGTAAGCTGACAATGCCCTCTGCCCCTTTCAGACCATACTTCTGAGAGTTTCCAAGAATAGCACGTTATTTTAAGGGCTGTGTCCCTTTCCTATGCATTAACAACGAAAGGAAGGATAATGAAAAGCCAGAGACGCTTGGCTACTCTCCCACTGCTCAATGCACATGGGGGATCACAGGGACAAATGCAGTTATTGATAATCTTCCAATACTGATAATTATGGTATTGATAACTTCTATGGTGACTTCCACTGGAGGCTCAGCCAGGTGTTCTTGCCATCTTATGAAGGAGGGAACAGCAGGAACACAGCATGGAAAATGTTTCTGAAGTGGCGACCAATTTCTGCGCTTGGTCACACGGTTTTCAGAGACCAGCAAGTACTCCCTGCTGAAACAGGTGATGGCAATGGCAGTAGGGGCTTTATCTGCGCTAATAAATGAACTAAAGCCAGGGCACAGGCTTTAAAACTGACCTGTGACTGTGTGGACCGTTAACATGCTCACTGGTATGTGTTTTGCCCACGCTAACCAGCACTGATCCAGGCACAGTTGAAGGAGAGCGTGTCACATTCCCAAAGGCAGGTTGTACAAGAGCTCCATAGTTTGGGAAGAAAACTGTTTGGTTGGCTTGAAAATCCTTGGCCTGTTTTATTTCATAACCTTTACAACATCAGTATCTTTGCAAACCAAGACCTAAAGAACTGCAGGTTGTTCTGGAGAATGTCATTCCTGGTCACAAAAGCAGCATCAGCCCGCCACCCCATACACAGCAATGCAGCATTCGCAGAGGGTGCAGGGGGCACAATGGACCCTTCAAAACCCTTTTTCTCTTTTCTATACATCTCAATTCACATCTCATCCTCATTTGGCTGAGAGGCAAGAAGATACCTCAGGTGCAAGAAGTCTGTTGTTCACATTCGTGTTTAAAAGAGCTCACTGACCTTTTCAATTTTCGAAAGAGTAACTTCAATCAAGATGCTGAACTTTTTCACTGCAGCCAAACCCTTCAGCAGGGCAATGATCCACTTGTCTATGTTCTTTCCCAGGGGCCAGGACACCCAGTCAATCATCCTGAAACGAAATACAAACTCTTAAAGTAAATTTAATGCACATATCATGAAAGCCAAGCTCTGCTCTGAGTTAAACCTCTTCCAAATTCCTGTCCAGTGGGATGACCAAATAAGAGATGGGCTCCACATAAGGCATTTCGCATGTTATTCAAAGCACAACAGAGCCTGAAGTTGAATTACCTCAATGTCATCAGCACACTGTGGCTCATCAGAGGACCTGACCCAAGTCCGTAGAAGAAAGTGGGGATTTCTTTCACTAACTTCAGTCAACTTGAGTTTGAGTTTTTAACATCAATATGGTGTTCTATATACCATAGCTCTGCATTTTGGATTTTCTAATATATCTTCCAGAGCAGGCCCTAGAAGGACAACCTCTGTTTTTAAAGAATCATAAGGCAGACCTAAGGGGGTAGTGATGGATATCTGTATCCACGTGAGGTGTTGATCGAGATCTCTGCATTGTCACCGTTAGAGAACAAGTGATACTGGTATGATCTCTGCATTGTTACTGGTAAGGAAAAACCACTCAGATTCAAATCTTAAAATTCTCTGTGTGGGAAACATTCATATCCAAAAACACATTAAAAAAAATACTGGTAACCCTAATAGGAGCCAGATATTCATGAATGTCACAGCTAACAAATTTCTTCTATAGCCACTCAACCAACATGTTGTCATGTTTCTGCAAGTAATAAGTACTTTACAGTACTCATAAAAAAATAACCACAAACTGAGTGATGACAGGTTGTTTCTGTTTAAGTTTAATGTTAAACAAAAATGGGAAGTAACGAAGGTTTGGGATCTCCAGGGGTCAAACTTTGCTAACCATTTCAGTACCTTTGATTTGAAGATACCCCAGATTTTCAGTCTCCCACCTCAGCCCAGCTATCTTACCCAATCAGTCCCTTCTGCTTATCAGTCTGCATCTTGTGCAAAATGTATGAAGGGAACACAGATAACTAACCACCACAAGACAAACAGCA